CTCACAGAAAAGCAAACTTAGGGCGTCATACTCGTAGCACCATCTGTTGGACATAAAAGCCTTAACCATAGATGATATCATTTAATTTATATGAATGTTTAACGGAATAATATACAGCCTATGTCCACCCTGAAGTTCCATTCTAAATATTGGTGAAAGAATTTTTGAAATCGGATGAGTAGTTTCGGAGATTACCTGCTACATCCAAACTTACTTACATACTTACTTACAAACATTACCTCTTTATAATATTAGTATAGATTTGAATTTTCCATTATTATCAGATACTATAATGTTATATTTTAATATTCATTACATATAATAAACTTATTTACTATTTATAAATTGAAAAATATTTTAATTATACAGTAATACCTCGACTTACGCAAACCCGGAGTTACGCGATTTTCAAATCTCATCGATTCGTCTTTTGTTTGAGCGCCACGCATCTCTTGATTACTGACTCTCCCCCATATTATTGTTTAGCTTACATGTTCGGACATGTTGTGCAGAATCCACACATAGCTACAATTTAGTTTGTGTTATTTATTTCTGCATTTGTTATATCTATGGAGACTCGAGAGACTCTATGTGGTGGTTTCTTGTAATCTTGAATGATTCAAAAGACGAGATAAGATTAACGAGAACATTTATTTGTTTACATACATCCGACTTGGATTTTACACAAATTGCGAAATTATACCCCGACTTACACGGTTATCGCTCGGTCCCACCTATAGCGTAAGTTCGGGGTATTACTATACTGAATAAAAATTAAAAATTTAAGATCAATTAGCATTTTTCTTTTGTTAACTGAATCCAAATAATTCTTTTCATTTTTTTAAAACTGCAGTATAAAATTATCTTAATTTTATGCTCCAATTATAAATTTTTAAAACTGTGACTGTTACATTGGCAATGCCAAGTCAGGACTGACACCACCTGTGACTTTTGGCACACAGGAACTTTTCAAATAATTATCATATGAGCAGTCACATATGAGGGAATGAACTGATATAGGATGGAGGAGAGTCGTGAGACATCATGCTGGAATAACACACTCCACTACACATTTAACCATTAAGCAACAAATATTTATTTTTCCAATTTATAAAAATTTACAAAGGGAATGAAATTAGTGGGAGACTCTGATCCTAAAAGTGCACTGAAATGAGAGAGAAAGCATTTACAAATTTGTATGTGATGGCAGTTAACGTGTTAATAAACACCTGGATGGTTAGTATTGATGATCATTGACTTCTCGAGGGAAGGTTTGGTCCAGATTAGTTCTGATTCAAGGGTGAAGTTCAGATACACTGCTCCCCTTGACAAACAAGTAAGTCCAATGTAAAAATTTCAAGTAAAGTCTAAGTAAAAATTTGAAGGGAGTTTGGGAAGAGCAGTGGTCAAGGACAATAATATTAATAACAATAATAATAATTGTCCTTGACCACCGCTCTTCCCAGCAAGGAGGTTAACACAAAAAAATACGCTGGTGAACTTTGTCTTATCATCTGCTCTCTTGCTTTTTACTTGTTGTCTTCTCCTACCACTAATGCCCATATTTGGTAAACTTGGTGGTTGCTCCAATCTGCATTTTTTTTTCTTTCATTTCTCTTGAGTAGTTTTCTTTCAGAAGCTGTCTCCCAAGGAGGAAGTGTTATTGGTGGTAAAATCTTACTAAGTTTCTTTACTGCATTTGTGAAATGAAGTAATTTGAACAAAAATAAATAAGAATAAAATTGTTCAATTTACACTAGCCTGGGTTCTCACAAAATATTTAATAAATGTGACAAAAATTTTTAATTGCTTATTTTTTAAATGATTCTAGACATATTATTTTAATTAAACTAATAACAGTCAGTTATGCTATATACAAAAAAAATCAAAACTGTTAGTTTACTTATACCTTAATAATCCATGAATTAAAGTTTTTGCAAAAGTAAAAAGTTTATAGAAAGAATTGATTATTAATTTTTACTTAATTTTTCAAATGTAAATTATGTTTGAACCTTATTAAATGTAAACTATGTATTTAAATTAAACATTGTGTTTTATTAAAATTAAAGTTCTTATAAATCAGAGTAAAATATATTTTAAAATTATTTATAATATAAATGTTAGAAAAATTTTTAAATGATAAATTTAAAATGTATATTTTTCTCCCATCAGGTTTTAGTAGATTTAGTTCAAGGTGAATTGATGCAATTAGGATCAAGAGAGAAAGATGATCAACGATTTTCTCACTATCTTCTGAAAACATTTAACAAGACTGCAAGTTTAATTTCCTTTACTTGTCAATCTGTATGTCATCTTATTAAAATCATTACTTTTAATAATTTTAGAATTTTTCAAAAGTTATTTGTAGTTTTGTCATGCTAAACTTAATCTTTGCACATGTTTTTTTAGAAAATTATTTATTTAAAACAAAAATACTTAACTTTAAAATTAGAATTATCCAAAATATTCAAACTAATATACTTGACATAATTAAAATATGTTTTATTAAATGTTGTTGTTAGATTATTAATTCAATATGAAAAATTTTAACAATTTAAATCATAAAATTTTGTAAAATACTATCACATTAACAATTTCTTAAACTGTCATGGTTTTAATTCTCAATTATCTAGAATAAATACATTACATACTGCTGTAGAATTTTCTTTCATTGTTCTTGCTCATAGTTATGACATTGACATCATCATAGCCAACATTTTTAATTATTTACATAAATGTGAGTTACATAATTACATAAAGTAATATTTCAACAAAAACTAGAATTAAAAATATCAAACTAATTTAAGGGATCTACTTTAATGATTAGTTGTAGAAATTAAAAAAAATAGCAGGCAGCAGCAGCTTTTCTCAAAATGGAAATTAATGCATGTAACATATTGGTGATACATAATTTATTTAATAGTAATATTTGCTATCTTATTGTTCTCTGAGCTTTCTTCAGTCTTAAATTATATCATGGTATGGATTTATGGTGACTACATAAATTAAGATTCCACAAGCTCTCAGGCAGGGACAGTTAATCTTTCTCTGACTAATCAGCATTTCATTACCTGATGTAGATACAGTAAAATGGTATTTTCACAGTAATCACGTTAACAGTACTAAATTTGCAAATTTAATGATTAAAAAAGAAACTTTTTTAAAGTAGAAGTCTTACAATTTTTTCCTTTATCTTCAGTTGCTTTTTGATTTGAATATTTTGAACAACTGCATGTTGTCATGACAATGGTATAATCAATGAGTTTGTACAAATTATGATAAATGTGTATGGATTTTATTATATATTGTTAGATAGATCTTGATCTTCAACTATTTTATTTCTAGGAATTAAAAGCGAGTATTGTCTTTTTGTGATTTATATCATATGTTCTTTATTGCATAGATGTTTAAGCCAAAAATCATCAATTAGCTCATTATATATGCATTGTTTTAATTAATATTTAAAAGATAAGGTAATATATGTAATCAATTTTGTATTGGTACTGTGTGCTCCTATCTAAGGTATTAGTTTTTACAAATTTTATAGCTATTACTTAATTATTCATTATTGCAGTGAAAATTGTCAAAATTACTAGAATTTTTATTCAGAAATGAAATGTTGGCATGTGAACTTATTTGTGTTTATGCTTTTCAATAAAATAATGTGTCGTGAATATTGAATTTCATTTAATGATAGTTAATTTATAATAATGGTTAGCTAAAGTATATTCTGGCAGTTCTGAAGTACCTAGTTTTGAATTCTCAGTTTTATGGGTGGTATGGTCACTAATTGGCCTGTTACAGGCTTGGTGAATCTATAATTGGAATGAATAATGAGAAAAAAGTTTATATATAATAAACAATAATAATTAATGATGATCTGTTTGTGATTATTCCTATTTTATTTATAATTCAAAATTGCAATTTTTGAATTATATATATATTTACAGAATATTCAGAGAAATGTATTTTTTTCACTTTAATTTTCTGATTTTTCAGATAAATCAGAAGTTTCAGTTCTAAAATGTTTTAACTAATAAAATTACTTCATATTAAAAAAATAAATAAATTCATATATATTTTTAAATATGAAAAATGTATTCAAATTCATTGCTGATGTTTACAGTAATAACATAGATAAATGAAATAGTAAGCTTAGGATAAAGATGTAGACATGACAATGTATTTCGTAGAAGTGATAATAGTATTCATTAAAGAATTTGTTAGTCACCAGAATAATTTTCAACAAAACTTTGCTCTTTCCTATATGGTAAAGAAATAAACATTTTTTTACAGTACAGGAAGGGAGCAAAGTTTATTATTATTCTTTTTGATAGTAATTTTTCAGTTTGGATTATCAGCATAAACTCAATTTTAATTGCTTTACTTTCTTTTTTCAATAGATCAAATTTTTACTCCAAATTTTGCTTATAATTGCATTGATTAAGAAATGAATCATTCATATAGACTTTTTCTTAAATGGCAGCCAACTCTTTAGATTTGGTTCTACATTATCAGGAAATCAATCAAAACAGGTACATGATGTTTAAATAATCTTATCAAGTCTGTAATTTAAACTATCAAAATTACAAAAGCAGTATCATTTAAAGAAAATCATTTTTAATAATTTAACAAAAAATTTTTGAATACACTTATTTCGTCTGCAGAATCTCATTCTCAAAAAAAAAAAAAAAAAAAACAAAAAAAGTTGAGTAAGACTTTTGAAGAATTGCATTCATTTGTTTACATATGATGATTACAATAATAATAATTATTATTAAAAATTGATCTTTAAACTTAAGAATTTTCACAAATAACAAATACAAAATTATGATATTTTCCAATAAATTTATTAAATATGGTTTTGTTTTACTTTGTGTAATTGCATTTATAATATGTTATAATTTCAAAGTAAGTGTAAAGCATATAGCAAATATTTTATCATTTTATTATTCTGTCAACAGCAGTTTTGATNACAGAGTAAAATTTCTCTAGCTCAAAGCTCAAATCATTTGTAACTCAAAATACTTTGAGTTACAAATGTTTGAGTTAGAGAACAATACAGTGAAAAATGATGATTCTGAATAGATTTATTTTTTACCTCTCTTGTTTATTTAATTTTTGATAGTTTTTGTTTTAAACATTCCATGTAACACCTTTCAGCAAAAAGTTCAGTTTAACTAAAGGAATTGAACAATTTTTTAAGTACATCTTGATATAAAGTGAGAGTACTCTCATTTTGGACTGGAACATTGTCTGCAAATGGGTGCTGGACAGTGGATACAATGAACTGTCTGAAAATTTCCTGGAAATCCAATAATTAGGATCACTTTAAATAGAATGAATATTAAAATTTGAGTCAGGGAAGTTGGAAGTAACATAAATCTGTGTCAGGATCAAGAAAACATTTGACTTGGAGAAAATTCAAATTAAGGAAATTTAAGTTGGAGACATTAAATCCCTATGCTATTCCATTGAGACATACCAAATGTTTCATTTTCTTCAAGTTAAAGACATATTTGAGTTGGAGAAGTTTTACTATATATACAGTATATATATAATAACAATAGGTAGCTATTGTTATTTCATTGTCAATATCAAGCCAAACAACCAGAGTTTTTACAATCTGTCTTTGCTAATTTTTAATTAATTTAATGAAATTTTAGCAATATCAATAATTAATGAATAGCAACTTGGTATTTCTTTCTGAAGTTGATTTAGAGTTTATTTATAAAGTATGATGACTGACAACAGTAGTTCAGTTCTTTTGAATTCTATTTATATTATTATTCTGCTTTCTGAAAGAATAATTTTGCTGATAATGACATTTGTAATTATTCATTAATATTAGTCACTTAAAAAGTTCTTTATTCTTGGCTTTTAATTTATGAATTAACTAGCAGACCCTGCCACGTGTTGTTGTGGCTCAAAATGTATCTATTATAAATGTATAACACTTCCCCTGTGGGAGGAAAATTTTTTGAAAAATTTCTTCTTAGTGTACATTCTGTTGACGTACCCTATTAAAATGCAATCAAAAACGCAAAAACCCGCATCTAAAATAATATAATAGAAGCCAAGTTCTCCACGGTAAGCCTTAATTCTGTCCCTCTCCCCGCGGGGGGAATATCGAAAAATCCCTTCTTAGTGTACATTCTGTTGACATACCCTATTTAAACGCAATCAAAAACGCAAAAACCCGCATCTAAAATAGTATAAATAGAAGCAGAGTTCTTTACCTTAAGCCTTAATCCTAACCATCTCCCTTCTGTGGGGTTGAATTTCGACACGTATATTATATAAAAACGTGCGTATTCGAATGCAGCGTTGTCAAAATTTAAAAGGAATCGGTAGGAACAAACGAACATTACATTTTTATTTATATAAACAGATAGAAGATGATCCGCTTTAGTTCATTTTCACAGAAAAGCATAATGCCTCACAGAAAAGCAAACTTAGGGCATCGTACTCGTAGCGCCATCTGTTGGACATAAAAACCTTAACCATAGATGATATCATTTAATTTATATGAATGTTTAACGGAATAATATACAGCCTATGTCCACCCTGAAGTTCCATTCTAAATATTGGTGAAAGAATTTTTGAAATCGGATGAGTAGTTTCGGAGATTACCTGCT